CTGTGTTAGTTTCTATTTGGGTAACAAAACTGCATACTTAATTTAACATTTTAAACAACCTTGTGACTAAAATTTAAATCCATTCTTTGAGCCAATATTTATCTATATTTTTATACCAAAATTTTTGCGACCAATCAAAGTTTAAAAAATGCATAACAAAGCCAAAAGTGCATTAAATTCAATTCGGAAAGCAGTCCTGCGTTCGTTTTTATCGGGATAATAAACCTGCATACTCAGTTTAACATTTTAATAAATTCAATTTTTTGCCAATTTTTGACAATTTTAATGATGTAACCCCTTATAAAAATTTGAAATTTTCGGAAATTTTGCAAAGAAATAGATTTTGGCCGGACATGGCTAGATCGATTCAGCTTTTAATGCTGATCAAGAATATATATGGTTTATAGGGTCGGAAATGACTCCTTCACGTTTTACAACTTTCGGACTAAAATTGAAATCCATTCATTGAGCCATATTATTTATATTTTTATACCAAAATTTTTGCGACCAATCAAAGTTTAAAAAATGCATAACAAAGCCAAAAGTGCATTTAATTCAATTCGGAAAGCTGTTCTGTGTTAGTTTCTATTTGGGTAACAAAACTGCATACTTAATTTAACATTTTAAACAACCTTGTGACTAAAATTTAAATCCATTCTTTGAGCCAATATTTATCTATATTTTTATACCAAAATTTTTGCGACCAATCAAAGTTTAAAAAATGCATAACAAAGCCAAAAGTGCATTAAATTCAATTCGGAAAGCAGTCCTGCGTTCGTTTTTATCGGGATAATAAACCTGCATACTCAGTTTAACATTTTAATAAATTCAATTTTTTGCCAATTTTTGACAATTTTAATGATGTAACCCCTTATAAAAATTTGAAATTTTCGGAAATTTTGCAAAGAAATAGATTTTGGCCGGACATGGCTAGATCGATTCAGCTTTTAATGCTGATCAAGAATATATATGGTTTATAGGGTCGGAAATGACTCCTTCACGTTTTACAACTTTCGGACTAAAATTGAAATCCATTCATTGAGCCATATTATTTATATTTTTATACCAACATTTTTGCGGCCAATCAAGGTTTAAAAAATGCATAGCAAAACTAAAAATGCATTTAATTCAATTCGGAAAGCTCTTCTGTGTTAGTTTCTATTTGGGTAACAAAACTGCATACTTAATTTAACAGTTTAAACCACCTTGTGACTAAAATTTAAATCCATTCTTTGAACCAATATTTATCTATATTTTTATACCAAAATTTTTGCGACCAATCAAAGTTTAAAAAATGCATAACAAAGCCAAAAGTGCATTAAATTCAATTCGGAAAGCAGTCCTGTGTTCGTTTTTATCGGGATAATAAACCTGCATACTCAGTTTAACATTTTAATAAATTCAATTTTTTGCCAATTTTTGACAATTTTAATGATGTAACCCCTTATAAAAATTTGAAATTTTCGGAAATTTTGCAAAGAAATAGATTTTGGCCGGACATGGCTAGATCGATTCAGCTTTTAATGCTGATCAAGAATATATATGGTTTATAGGGTCGGAAATGACTCCTTCACGTTTTACAACTTTCGGACTAAAATTGAAATCCATTCATTGAGCCATATTATTTATATTTTTATACCAAAATTTTTGCGACCAATCAAAGTTTAAAAAATGCATAACAAAGCCAAAAGTGCATTTAATTCAATTCGGAAAGCTGTTCTGTGTTAGTTTCTATTTGGGTAACAAAACTGCATACTTAATTTAACATTTTAAACAACCTTGTGACTAAAATTTAAATCCATTCTTTGAGCCAATATTTATCTATATTTTTATACCAAAATTTTTGCGACCAATCAAAGTTTAAAAAATGCATAACAAAGCCAAAAGTGCATTAAATTCAATTCGGAAAGCAGTCCTGCGTTCGTTTTTATCGGGATAATAAACCTGCATACTCAGTTTAACATTTTAATAAATTCAATTTTTTGCCAATTTTTGACAATTTTAATGATGTAACCCCTTATAAAAATTTGAAATTTTCGGAAATTTTGCAAAGAAATAGATTTTGGCCGGACATGGCTAGATCGATTCAGCTTTTAATGCTGATCAAGAATATATATGGTTTATAGGGTCGGAAATGACTCCTTCACGTTTTACAACTTTCGGACTAAAATTGAAATCCATTCATTGAGCCATATTATTTATATTTTTATACCAAAATTTTTGCGACCAATCAAAGTTTAAAAAATGCATAACAAAGCCAAAAGTGCATTTAATTCAATTCGGAAAGCTGTTCTGTGTTAGTTTCTATTTGGGTAACAAAACTGCATACTTAATTTAACATTTTAAACAACCTTGTGACTAAAATTTAAATCCATTCTTTGAGCCAATATTTATCTATATTTTTATACCAAAATTTTTGCGACCAATCAAAGTTTAAAAAATGCATAACAAAGCCAAAAGTGCATTAAATTCAATTCGGAAAGCAGTCCTGCGTTCGTTTTTATCGGGATAATAAACCTGCATACTCAGTTTAACATTTTAATAAATTCAATTTTTTGCCAATTTTTGACAATTTTAATGATGTAACCCCTTATAAAAATTTGAAATTTTCGGAAATTTTGCAAAGAAATAGATTTTGGCCGGACATGGCTAGATCGATTCAGCTTTTAATGCTGATCAAGAATATATATGGTTTATAGGGTCGGAAATGACTCCTTCACGTTTTACAACTTTCGGACTAAAATTGAAATCCATTCATTGAGCCATATTATTTATATTTTTATACCAACATTTTTGCGGCCAATCAAGGTTTAAAAAATGCATAGCAAAACTAAAAATGCATTTAATTCAATTCGGAAAGCTCTTCTGTGTTAGTTTCTATTTGGGTAACAAAACTGCATACTTAATTTAACAGTTTAAACCACCTTGTGACTAAAATTTAAATCCATTCTTTGAACCAATATTTATCTATATTTTTATACCAAAATTTTTGCGACCAATCAAAGTTTAAAAAATGCATAACAAAGCCAAAAGTGCATTAAATTCAATTCGGAAAGCAGTCCTGCGTTCGTTTTTATCGGGATAATAAACCTGCATACTCAGTTTAACATTTTAATAAATTCAATTTTTTGCCAATTTTTGACAATTTTAATGATGTAACCCCTTATAAAAATTTGAAATTTTCGGAAATTTTGCAAAGAAATAGATTTTGGCCGGACATGGCTAGATCGATTCAGCTTTTAATGCTGATCAAGAATATATATGGTTTATAGGGTCGGAAATGACTCCTTCACGTTTTACAACTTTCGGACTAAAATTGAAATCCATTCATTGAGCCATATTATTTATATTTTTATACCAAAATTTTTGCGACCAATCAAAGTTTAAAAAATGCATAACAAAGCCAAAAGTGCATTTAATTCAATTCGGAAAGCTGTTCTGTGTTAGTTTCTATTTGGGTAACAAAACTGCATACTTAATTTAACATTTTAAACAACCTTGTGACTAAAATTTAAATCCATTCTTTGAGCCAATATTTATCTATATTTTTATACCAAAATTTTTGCGACCAATCAAAGTTTAAAAAATGCATAACAAAGCCAAAAGTGCATTAAATTCAATTCGGAAAGCAGTCCTGCGTTCGTTTTTATCGGGATAATAAACCTGCATACTCAGTTTAACATTTTAATAAATTCAATTTTTTGCCAATTTTTGACAATTTTAATGATGTAACCCCTTATAAAAATTTGAAATTTTCGGAAATTTTGCAAAGAAATAGATTTTGGCCGGACATGGCTAGATCGATTCAGCTTTTAATGCTGATCAAGAATATATATGGTTTATAGGGTCGGAAATGACTCCTTCACGTTTTACAACTTTCGGACTAAAATTGAAATCCATTCATTGAGCCATATTATTTATATTTTTATACCAACATTTTTGGGGCCAATCAAGGTTTAAAAAATGCATAACAAAGCTAAAAATTCATTTAATTTAATTCGGAAAGCTGTTCTGTGTTAGTTTCTATTTGGGTAACAAAACTGCATACTTAATTTAACATTTTAAACCACCTTGTGACTAAAATTTAAATCCATTCTTTGAGCCAATATTTATCTATATTTTCATACCAAAATTGTTGCGACCAATCAAAGTTTAAAAAATTATACAATTCTCTAAAAATAACGATAAATATTTATTTCCATTTCCCATGAAAAGAATGCAGCAGAGAGCGACGAAGACTTTTTTATTTGACTAGGCCCAAAACAGTATGCTAGACTTTAACACCGTTTCAATTTGATTTCATCGCAAAAGTAGGCAATGAAAAATATTAAAACACAGTGATAAAATCTGTGCATCTTTTGGGCTGTATTTGCATTGCATGTGGCTGTGCATTTTTCTGCGCTGCGAAGTATGCAATTAGGAATAATAAGAACGAGTGGCCGAATTATTGCATCTTTTGGGCATTTTAACATTAATGAGTAACCGGCTAAAGTGACAATTCATTACATACTTTTGCGCTGAACTTGACAGGAAGCTCTGTGCATAGTGGAATGGTTCGCTCTTTAGCCGCTAGAGTGCTCCCGAAGAGACAGCAAAAGTACTTAATAAAATGTTTTTATAGGAATTTATAACAGCGTCACAAAACATTTCGTGAACGCACAGATGTAGTTTTGATTATTTCAAAGACAAATAACTATGACTTTCAAGCTTTTAAAAATATTTAAATAAAATGTCGGATTTTTTACAAAATAAACAATGGGTGTAAAACTTGGATAAACTGAAACTAGTTTCATTAAACAAGATGGCGCTTTCGTTGTTCACGGGTATAATAAAAAATCATATATGTTTTAAGCTGATAGTACTAGAAAATTAGAGGCTAAATAAAAAATACTATACTTCTTGAATATAATATTTAAAGTAGAATAAATAATAATTTATAATTGAAGTGCACATTAATTTATTCATTCAAAACAAATAAAGATTAATATCGATGGAAAGTAACATGTAAGTATCGATAGTGACATCGATGAATTTGCAGCTCCAGCTTCTTGTGTTTTGCCAAACATTGTTTGGCTAAAATTACAAACCCTCCAAAAACTACATTAAATTTAGCATAGTCTATAGTAAATACAGGAATGTTCTGCTGTTTGCGCACCTGCCTCAACGGCGGACACCTGAGAAAGCCAGTAGCCGCGGCCAGTCGCCTCCGGGAGCCCGATGTCCACCTGGACGCAGCACATATGGGTAAACAAATCAAGTCTTACGGCAATATTGCAAATTTCTATGTTCTTTTGCTGCCAATATCATTGTCATGTATCATTTTTTGAAGCAACTTTGAGCTTATATTAACCCTTTCTACCTTCCAGGAGCTGATGTGATTCTGCTGTCGCATCAGCTACGCGTTACGGGCACCGGAGGCGTCCTGGCTACTGCCCCTTTAGTCCAGTCAAAGTCTTACTTCGAGGTGAAGATCCAGCAAGGCGGCAGCTGGTCCGTGGGACTGGCCACCCGCCAAACGGACCTCAGTCGCAAGTGCGGCGGCGGAGACCGCGAGTCCTGGTGCCTGTGTTCAGACAATGCCACGCGCCACAACGACCAGGAGGAGTTCCGACCAGTGGTGCAAGCAGCTTGCACTACCCAACCGTCGAAGACAACCAATGGCATCCTGAACAGCAGTGCTGCAAAGGCCGCGGGTCTCATTGCCATCGAAGATCTGCAGCAGGAGGACCTGCTTATGACCACCGGCGTGGCTTCGCCCGATGTGGGGATTGGCGATTCCTTGATAGCACCGCCGCAGCGAGATTTTCCCGACGAGGGCGATATCGTGGGAGTTGCCTTCGATCATGTGGAATTGAATTTCTACTTTAATGGGAAGAATCTGGAGGTTCCCTTCAGGAACGTGAGAGGAGCAGCTCTTTTTCCCGTAATTTATGGTGAGTTTCCTGTCAGGTTTTGCGTATCAAATTTAAAATGATTTCTTTTAGTTGGCAATGGGGCTATCTTGGACATAATCCTGGATAACTTCTCGCATGGTCCACCGCCTGGGTTCGAGCGTATTCTGTTGGAGCAGTCACTCCTTTAGATAGCATCCCAAACCAAAAGTCTTGAACAAATTAGCAGCTTCAGAACAAAAAAAGTTGAAAAAAATAATAGATGAACAGTGTGTTTTAGGACTATAGGGCAGGAAAATAATACCGGGCATCAAGGCCTTATAATATGTTTTACTTAAAAACATTTTTTACTTTAATTTTACTCGCTCTTTTAGTTAATTTATTCAGATAACCAAGTGATGGGATTTATAGAAAAAACCTATATTTTACTTTCTCTGGTCAGTTTAATTTTATTAAAAGCATAAATCAATTTCTAAAATAAAGTTATGGCCATAGTTACCCCTGTCTAGTCACCAAATATTGTAAATCAAAGTAAACTAAAAAGGTATTCAGAAATGTCCCAAATAGGAACTGAGATTTTCAAGCTGAACTTAAATATAAAGTTAATAAAATAATATAAAATGTTTAACTATTTGACTGTCTTATAGTTGTGAGATGCACTGCTTTCATTGTTTAGGCATCACGTGTATAAACTTTGTAACCACTCTAGTCCTTGCACTCCCCAAATCGAAAAGTATTGTTTTATTTATTAAATCTTTGTAAATTACTTACGTAGCTTGACCTCGCGACTGCTTTTGTATTATACACAAACACACATATATCTCGGTAGATAGATACAGATGCATTTTTTATAGGGCGACCTCCTAATCTTCTCTCACATTCCAATTTACAATGGCCATGGACCAGTCCAGCAACGTATTCGAGCACGGAATTACCTAAATAACTATAAGAGTATATCTATATATCTATGAAATTGTATCTAAATGTATCTAACGCTTTGAAAACTGAATAATCCGCGCGCGGACAATAAATCTGTGTTACGTAAACAAACTTTTCTTGGCCTAGTCTGTCACTCAGATCTGTGTGTTATTTCGGTAGAGTATTTTATTAAAATTTGGAAAAATTAAGATATGACAGATGTCCGTAAAGGGGGAGATCATCCAAGTGCACATTGGCCAGGCCGGTGTGCAGATTGCCAACGCTTGTTGGGAGCTCTATTGCCTGGAGCATGGCATTTTGGCCAACGGAAGACTGCCTCAGAGTCCCCTGGACGACTCGTTTCTCACCTTCTTTGAGTTCACCAACAGTCAATCATGTGTGCAGCCCCGCATCGTTGTGATCGACACGGAACCCACAGTCATTGGTTTGTCCAATATATTATCCAAGGCTTTAGCACTGAAATCGTTCTTTCCAGATGAAATCCGCACGGGTGCCTATCGTAATCTCTTCCACCCAGACACTCTGATCACCGGCAAGGACGATAGTGGCAGTAACTTTGCCCGTGGCTATAATCTAATGGCCAGCGAGCTGTTGGATCGTTCCATGAATGCCATTCGTCGTGTGGCCGATCGCTGCCGGAACCTCAGGGCCTTTCTGATATTTCGGGCCATAGGGGGCGGCTCCGGGTCTGGTCTGGGAACTCGTATCATGGAGAAAATTGTTGAAGACTTTGGCAGGAAGATGACTGTTGTTGAGTTTTTAGTGTATCCATCGCCCTCGTGAGTCAGTTTGCCTTCGTTTACAATGCCTAAGCCACTGTTGACCTTATTCCTCATAGCATCTCACCGGTGATTGTGGAGCCCTACAATGCCCTGTTGTCGGCCCACTTCTCCATGGACTGCACCGACATCTCCTTCATCGTGGATAATGAGGCGCTGTATGACATTTGTGCGAATACCCTCAATGTGCCTGCTCCCACCTACACGAATCTGAACCGTATCATTGGTCAGGTGGTGTCTAGCTTTACGGCATCCCAGCGCTTCGGTCAGGGATCGAACGTTAGCTTCCAGGAGCTGCAGACGAACCTGGTTCCGTATCCACGAATCCACTATCCGCTGATAAACTACGCTCCCCTGGTTCCCATCTCCCACTCGCAGTTCGTGAACATGTCGACGGCCCAGCTGACGAGTCAGTGCTTCCAGATGAGCAACCAAATGGTCAGGTGCAATCCCTCGCATGGCAAGTACATGTCCTGCGTTCTCCTCTACCGCGGCGACCTCGCCCCCAACGAGATCAATTTCTCCCTGGAGAACATCAAGCGGAACAAGTCGTTCAGATTTGTGGACTGGTCGCCCACGGGCTTCAAGATCGGTGTGAGCAGCATGCCGCCGGTGTATGTCCCTGGTGGTGATCTGGCGCCCACCAACCGCGCCTGCGTGGCCATTTCGAACAACACGAACATCCGGATCGCCTGGTGCCGGCTGGTCAACAAGTTCGACAAGCTCTATCAGCGGCGTGCCTTCGTCTATCACTACGTGGGCGAAGGTCTCGAGGAGGGTAACTTTGCCGAAGCCTCGGAGAATATCTGCCAGCTGGTGCACGACTACCTTGAGGTGGATGCCTCATCTCCTGTATCGGCTCGCGGATCCGGGTCCGAGTAGTTTAGATCCTTTGCTATATCGATTCTCGTACGTCGTCATATTAACCCAATAAAGACTTTATAAATTTTCTGTGTTAAATTCTAGAGATTACTTTCTGGCTAAATGAAGGGGGCTGGTAATAACCGTGCAATTGATCTTTGGATAACTCTATCGAGTTCTGCTTTAAGGAAATCGGAAACCTAAACTGAATTCCCTTTCTTTCACAGAATATATTAAAGATCTTGGTAAAGGGACCTCTCCCTGTATGAGAGTATTATCATATTCGGTCTCCAAGAAGACCCAACCTTTTCACTTTTTTATTTACCTTTTTGAGGCTTTCGTCAGCTCGAAACCGTTGGCCAAATTAAGTATTTACGGCTGGCTTAAACAAACATTGACCCAGCCTGCAATTTGCGTTGCTTGACCCCGGTCGAAAAGGCAAAGGGAGGGGTCGCATCGACGGACGATGGGCGTGACCAACCCTGCCGATATGGGGTATAATTAAAATGATCGCTGCCCGAGGGTTTAGCACGTACCGAGGCAAAAGTCGCGCTTATCGCGATCGCACCCAGGGCAAGGTCTCCTCGATCCGGCATCTTCGGATCATCTTCATCCCGGTGCTCGATGGTCGAGTCCCCGCGGACCCCTTGGTGGCCCCAAACGAGCGCTTTGTGACGTGACTTACGCACGCTTAATGTGTGATTATCGATGAAGGGATCTTGGCCAGCACGCAGACCGCTCACTTGGCCATCTTATCAGCTCGCTGACTGACTTTTGGTGTGGTCCTTGCGCAGGATGACCGCTGTTATTAAAGGCATTATCATTATGAGATCCCGGTGCCTTTCCGCCAATTCCATTGTGTGTGTGTGTGTGTTAACTGTTGCTAATCTTAAATTGAAGTCGAGAGGCTTTTGCTTTTGTTTTATAGCGTGAGAACCGCTGCGTGTGTTCTGCTGCTCCTCATTTTTTTTTTTGCAGGGGGTGTTAATGAGCCAAAGGAAATGCCAAAGGACCACCTTGGGCTGGGGCTCTGTCGGAATTAAGCCGTTCTACCGATCGACATGGGATCGGGTTAATAAAGCAATTTCGCCAGATTGCCAAAAGGAAAGGTGCGTGCCCTGGTGGGGTTGAATCGAGAGGGCACAATGCTCTGGGGAGGAAGGACGACCCCTGAGCCACAACATTTGAAATATCTAGTTAACTCTGAGGCCGCTCTGACCTCCTTTATTTATGCACTAATCCGTGGGAAATGCTCGTCGAGACACCTGGGGCCGATTTATGCCACAAACGAAACGAAAAAGGAACAACAACAGTTGGAGGTCCACACCCGCAACACAAAAGAGACAACAATGCGAAAATATTTAAAACGACTCTCGAATGCTCTTGATGGTCACATTTTTTAGGTTCACTATCTTTAAAGTTTTCTTAAAATTATTGTCAAAATCCCTAACCAAATCCCAGTAGTAAAATTTTGTGTAAGAATACTTCTACTTCTAAAGATACTTTTGCTTAGACTCCTTAAAGCTTCTTCTTAACAAGCTTCTTCTCCGAAACCCCATTCAGGTCTTTTCAAGGATTGTTCCATCCATATTAAAAAACATTGAACAGTTATGGTTTAGTTAACCATTAATTTAAAACAATACTGATATACCCCAACCTTATAGAGTGCTCCAAAGAGGGAAAAATATTAAACAACCGTCGAGTGAATTAATAAAGCGCCTCGCGAGGCGGCCACGCATTAAACGACACACAGCAAAAAAACATTGCACCGGCGAATCCAGGCAGGATGAGGGGCAGGAGGAGCTCGGGCTCTATTCCGAGGACCCGGGCCACATGTGTGCGAGTTCCAGTACGAATGGCGAATAGATGCCACATGACTGACCACTCCAATGCACTGCACTCCACTTTGGTTGTTGCCCGTTCTTTTTAGCCGAGGGCAAACATTTTGGAATTGCAATTTTCGACTTCATTTCCAGGCTTTGAACGCCTCGGTTTCCTTGGGTTTTTATTTTTTATTTAGCCAAGAAGACATTGGGTTCGAGGCACAAGGCAACACCTACCGAGGTACCGAGGCACCAAGGCACCAAATGGGCAAACCAACACAGCCCGCAGAGCCAGCGGTGGGCGGTTGTAACTGAGGCAGGGAGCAAAAAGGGAGGAAGGACACACTGCGAATAAATCTTACTATAGAAAGTAAATTAAACTAAATCAAATCAAATATTTTATACTATTTTATACTGACAGTATTTAAGGCTATTTCAAATTAAACCTTTAGCTTTCACACAGCAGATATTGTTCTATCAAAGAATATTTAATTATTGTTTCGAAGGATAAATGCCTCTTTAAGATTTGTTATATATATTGTGTGGTTTGATTAAAAAACTAAAGAGTAACTTGGAAACCAATTGAATTTCATAAAATGAGAACAGTTGGATCCCTAATATCCTCAATTAAACACATAATTTTAGACCAACATTTTCTAACAGATTTATTAGAACACAAACCCGTGTTAGAACACTTATTTTATATTTATAACTTTGTATTTTTTTGTTTTTAATATTTTACTCTGAGTGTGTACAATGCGGCAAGTGTTTCGATTTATGTTTTTGCGCCTCGGCTGCCACAGCTTGCTACATGCCACATGCTCGCTAGCTGGCTGACTCGGCTGCGGCGATTTCATTCAAAATGTTTAACCAGCAACCAGCCAGCCGCAAGACCACTTGTTGCTCTTTTATTCATTCAATTTGTCAGTTTTGCACTAGCACAAAACGAAACCCAGTCCACTCCACTCCACTCCAGTCCGGGCCAAGCCGAGATCGCTTCTCCCCTTGTCCCTGGATGGAGTCAAAAGGTTATCGCCACACTTGCTGCATTTATACGGCCTGATCATGTGGCATGATCATCACGATGATGATAATGACGCCGATCGCAACGTTGTGGGCATTCATGCCGCTGCTCTCCTCTGCCGCATGTTTACATGGCAAAATTATTAGTGGTAATATTTGTGAAATATTTGTTTTCTAATCTGTAAACACCAATCATATTAGCAATTTGAATATGACAGCGCCAGCTCCAAACAGTAACAGGCCTTGTTGTTGCTGTTATGAATACCCTTAAGATAGGAGGTATATCGCTCTACGGATACCAGTTGGGGCTTATTACATTGGCTTACATTGGTACTAAGTTAAATAGCCTCTTAGGAATACCATAACAGAAGTGAGCATCTGAAAAATTAAATTACAAACCATTTACATTGGTTTCTTAAAAGATAATATTTACTATTGCAACCTACAAAAATTTATAGATAGTAATTTTTCAATCCCTGAAAGTTTTACAAATCGAAAATTCCTCTATGTATGATTATGAGGCTTCAAGAGCATTAGGATATTCGGTTCCCAAAGACTAAGTCTCGATTTATAGGCAATTGTTGTTGTGGTCAACGGTCAGTGGCTTGTGGCAAGTATTTTGGTTATTACATTGGCCTGGCTGGTTGCCTTCGATGGGTGGGTGGAGGTAGGTGGGGCGTGAGTTATTATCTATTCAATTGTTGCACTTTGCTGCTTCCTATTGCCTTGAGACATGGCAATGGATCCCCACTTCCACTCCCCCATCGCTCCGCCCGCCGATGCTGCTTTGAGGGGCGACTGGCATTAAATTTATGATAAATGCCAAGATCTCCGCGACTTCATATGCGAATTCGACTCGGCTCGTTAGCCGTCTCTCTCGAGCATCGTTTACAACACTTTAAGAGGATTTTACTGCCTCGACTCCATTGGCAGCCATTAGCAAGGCAATTGACATACTCCTTGACGGACATACTCGGAGGAGAGCACTAAGTGCACGGAATTTATCATGGACGATGGATCGTCAGCGGCTGTGGCGGTGACGGAGGAGGCGTTTGCCAAAAATGGCACAAATAACGACATAATTTGGCCAAAGATCTGGCCAACATCGGAGATCAGCAGCAGGCCACATTTGAAGCCAAACTGGCAACTGGCAACTTGCAACGACAATCGACATATGCAAATTGACTGTGAAACGCAGACGACGCACGCGGGATAAGAGCCAAAAATGGTGTGCAAATCGTTAGGCCACTTTGTAAATGCACTGGGAGTAAAGTATCAAGTGGAATCAATATATATAATATACATAATATATAGTATATAGTTTCAACAAACTTAAAAAACTATTTAAAAGGTGCAAAGGTGCTAATGGAGTCTAGAAAACCAACTCATTTGTAATCTTTATTAAGGCCCCTTGACTAATTTCATTTCTATGGTTTTTAAACCTTTTTCTCCAGTGTTTTTTCAACCGTGCCTTGCACAGATCTCACATAAATAATTCAATTAGTTAAAGTAGAAATTAGCGGGCAACAGCATAGCATTTTGTGAAAAGATTTGCCAATCTGACAGTCTTTGATCTCTCGGGGGCCATTCGAGCTGCTGGCAGATGACATCATTCGCCATCATCGCACTAAACGGCCAGATCAAATAGATTTTTTCGTCGCATATCGACCACACGGCTAAATGCTTTATTGGCTATCAGTTAGCATACGAGAGGTATAGGCCATGTTTGAACTTGAAATTCCATATTAAGTGCATTTTGGAATAGAATCGAATGGTGAAACTGAGTCGGGTTTGGGTCCATTGTGGGGCTCGCTGCTCTGGCATGGTAATTACTCTGGCTAAAAAGTCTCAGCCTCTTGCCCGGCGCATTGCAATTTGAGCAACAAAAAAGTCAAATTCTGCACCAAACGCAATTAATCAAGCGCCTTGGGTCGTGCCTGGCCAAATGTTTTCCACTCCTAATGATGCCGTGGTCATATACTCCACAGACTCACTCCACAAATTGCTCAAATATGGCCTGGGTCGGAGTTCAAGCCGACTGCAAACTGTGCTTAATGTCTCACTTATGGCCAAGACGACCAAGCCTCTCTGGTCCCCGTTGCGTGAGAATGTTTTTGTTGTTTCTTTGTTTTTGGCCAAAAACCGCGGAGCGGAGCGTTTGTCAAGCTCTAATTTGCTGCGGCTCTCGGTCACGTGTCTCGTTGCCAATATCTTGATGGATCGGCCAGCTGGATATCTTGATTGGGGACCCGG